ATACTGGCTGAGGCAACAAGGGTTCTTTTTTAGCGGTAAACGTGCAAACTTGTGTCTAGATGTCTAGATGTCTAGGAGCCAGGTAGATCGTGTGTTTGTTCATCACCCTTATTCCATAAAAAATATGTGTCATTTTTGTCTATTAATATAGAATTTGTTCATACATTAACTACTGACTACCACATGTCAGATTCTATAAATATTGACTGGCTGGTTTATTTAGTAGTCATAAACGCGGTTGCTGATCATGAGGTCAGCTGCTTTCTGTCAAGAATCTCTCAGAAGCGGCCCAGAGTCAGGAAGTTGGCGGTGTTTCACCCCCGCTCCTCGGAAAGTAAATAAAGCCGTTGATGTCGGATAATCTTCCCAAGGGACTATGAGAGTGAGAGAGCAGAGAGCGCACTTATGTTTGCGCATACACTCGGGTATAATCCAGTCCTACGCAGATGGCTAATCTCCGTTGACATTGGCCACCGTGACCGAAACACGATGTGGAAGACAAGATCCTAGTATCGCTATGAGCCATAGTTTCGACAAAACAATTATATCGTGAGTGGTCTCAATCGGTCAAGTCGGTCAGAAGTTACAAGATCACCAACAGGCACGTTACCTATCATATATATGTATATAAAGATTTAGTTATATAGTTGATGGCTCCATGGCGCAGTGGCTTACAATGAGTTGCTGCGCTGGGGGCAGCGGGTTCGAATCCCGCACGGAACAAGTATTTGTATGACCTACAAATAATTGTTCTGGGTCTGGGTGTTTGTCCTTGTGCAATTTGTGTTTGTAAGCTGCCTCCACGATACAGGAGAAAATCCTAGTGTGGGGGTAACGTTTTAAAAAAAATATAAATATGAAGATTTCTCTTTAACCCGTCTGCTCCAAAAAGGAAATATAATAGGGTATCTATTTATGTTTCCTTTTTGGGTAATCTATGTATGTTTTGTTGTATGTATGTCTATTTCACTGGCACGACTCAATAGCGTAGCCTGGGTTGCTGCTAAACATAAATCAAGCTTACTTTGTTTTCCAATATGGCGCCTGACCCCTCTATCCTCCTTGCAATGCCTATGCCTAAAATTTCTACAATTTGAAATAGCGTATTTCATATTCCATTCCAACAGGTTACCTTGAATAAATTTAAAAAAAAACTTGTTGGAGTCTGTCGACAATTTGGGCCGATAAAGGTATATTTTTTTTTGTATACTTCTAATCAACGCGATGCTAATATAATGGGAGTATAATTCGGCCAGATACTAGTTGGCATAAAGGCAAGATTGAAAACACTCGACTGCAAACTAAATTTTTTTTTATTGATTATTTTAATATAAGTGTTAAATATTTTTCGAATTTAATTCGTTGTTTCAAATACGTGCCATATTTAAGACTACAATGTTTTCGTTGGTTAATTTTATTATTTTTGCATTGGTAAGTACTTTATGCTAGATATTTTCCCTTTAGTACCTTTTTTGTATGTTGTGTGATGCTGATGTAAGAGAATTCATCTCCCAATTACATCCCTATGTGTTGTGTGAAGTAGACATTCGTTCATTTGACCCGGGTCGCATCAAAGTATTGATAATAACAATTACATGTTTTGAACGTTCCGGATCAAATGATTGAGAGGACCTACGACCTAATTAGTAATGTCCGACGGCCGACATTATCGAGGTGGTCTCACAGAGTACTGCAACTCGAAATGATCCATTTGAATGATCGATCTGAATACTTGAATGAGCCGGTCACAAGTAATTAATGAATGACACATGTCTAGTATGAAGTAGTGGGATTGGGAAATAGCAGAAGTCTTATGACATTCGATGTACTACTTATCATCATCATCATCATTACAGCCTTTCATAAGTCCACTGCTGAACATAGGCCTCCCCCAAGGAATGCCACAAAGCACGGTCCTGAGCCACCTGCATCCATCGACTTCCTGCATGTCTTACCAGGTCGTCACTCCATCTCGTGGGGAGTCGCCCTACACTTCGCCTACCGGTACGAGGCTGCCACTCAAGAACCTTTCTTCCCCATCGGTTGTCGGTTCTTCGAGCTATATGGCCAGCCCATTGCCACTTCAGCTTACTAATCCGTTGGGCTATGTCGGTTACTCTGGTTCTACTGCGGATATACTCATTTCTAAGTTTATCACGCAGAGAAACCCCACGCATAGCCCTCTCCATAGCTCGCTGAGCGACCTTGAGCTTCCTCATACGGCCAGCAGTGAAGGACCACGTCTCAGTTCCGTAAGTCATCACTGGCAACACGCACTGGTTGTACAATTTCGTTTTAAAGTTTTGAGGTATGTCTGACGAGAAGATGTGTCGTAGTTTCCCGAACGCTGCCCAGCCGAGTTGAATCCGTCGATTGACCTCTCGATCGAAGTTAAACTTACCTAGTCGGACTATTTGTCCCAGGTAAACATACTCGTCAACAATTTCGAGCTTAGTGCTCCCAGCAACTACCGGCATAGGTGTGACATGGACATTAAACATGATCTTTGTTTTGTCCATGTTCATCGTAAGACCTATTCCTTGGGAGACACTATTGAGGTCATTGAGCTTGGTACTTACGTCCTCCAGCGATTCTGCTATAAGGACTATATCGTCGGCAAATCGAAGGTGAGTGATGTACTCGCCATTGATGTTAATAACGTATTCTTTCCAGTCCAGAAGCTTGAAAATGTCTTCCAATGCAGCGGTGAAGAGTTTCGGGGATATAACATCACCCTGTCTTACACCTCTCTGCAATTGGATAGGTTTCGTACTCTGGTTCTGTACTCGGATAGCCATCGTAGCTCTACTGTAGAAACACTTCAGCACTTCGATTTACCGACAGTCAACTTGGCACCGCTGAAGGGACTGCAGCACCGCCCAAATTTCGACGGAATCAAAGGCTTTCTCATAGTCCACATACGCCAGACATAGTGGCAAATTGTACTCCTCGGACTTCTGTACAATTTGCCGAAGGGTATGTATGTGATCTATGGTGCTAAAGCCCTTTCGGAAACCGGCTTGTTCGGGAGGCTGGAAATCGTCAAGCCTGCGCGCGAGACGATTCGTAATGACTCTCGAAAACAGCACGTAGACGCGACTCAGAAGGGATATCGGTCTGTAGTTCTTCAAGAGAGCGTTGTCACAAGCAAGAGCAAGTTTTGATTCGAGGATTACCGTGTCCTCCCCCTCTCTTCGGACTTCGGATATGCCAGCGTAACTTGTCTATCTCTTCTTCCAGCTCCACGATCTTCTCGTCAGTCCTCAGGGTGCGTGCGTTGTATGTTGCCAGGTCGAGTCGTCTTAGGTGGCAACCGAACCTCCACCGGAGATTCTTAGCACTCCCTGCCTCGCTGTTACCATGGTCGCCACCGTAGCCAAGAATAGCGGGGCCGCCGGGGACTGGAGGCCGTTTCTTTGTTACTCTCATCATATTTGCCATAGTTGCCACGCTTGGCGAGTGGGTTGGCAACCGCAGTTTTTTTATTGTAAGTTTGTTGTTATGAGGAAGATGCTGCTGCCCATCTTCTGCCTGTTTCCCTTTGTCGCCTTTTACGACACCCACGGGAAGATATGAGGTAGTGGATATTCTTAACCGCCACTACACGGCATTGTTTACTTATGCCGTGTAGTGGCGGTTATACTATGGTGGTATTGTTGTACTACTTATGCTTACTTATGATATACATACATACTTATGATACGACTTAGGGACCTTCAAGAAAAGAGCATACACCTTTTTAAAAGGCCGGCAACGCATCTGCAATTCCCCTGGTGTTGCGGTTGTTCATGGGCGGCGGTAGTCACTTACCATCAGGTGAGCCGCATGATCGTTTACCCCCTCTCCTATAAAAAAAATGCTATTACTATAATTTATAAATACACTAGACATCCGCCCCGGTCGGATCGGATTTGCTGATTTTAGGATCTCGACAACAGCGTCATCTACCGGGTCCAATTATGAATTTAAATCATCCAGGACCCACACAAACGCACACAAAAAAGTCATCAAAATCGTTCGAGCCGTTTTCGTGTTTTAGCAATTGATTTTTATATCTGGGGGCACGGCAGTGCCACCGCCAAGTCGAGCAAAAAGCGGCACGGCTGTACCATCCTTTTCTCGAAGCAGTTCAGGCCATTTTCGACCCCTATAACTTCGTTGTGGATAAAACTAGAAGCCTTAATTTTCAGTAATCAAGCAGGCATTGTATAAAAACTCTATATTTCAAATTTCATTCAATTTGAACCAGTAGTTTAAGAATTATAACTAGTCAAAATTTCTTAATTTTGTCACTCACTGACTGAACTCAAAACTCTAAGGCACTTCTAGCAGACATAGAAGCTTCAAAATTAGAATGCAATTAGTGTTTAGTGTATAAATCAAGGAAAAATTAAAACATTTTGCAATTTTGGTCCAGTTTTCTAGATACATCAACTGCATAATTAACTTTGTAATCCTATATGTTCATATGGATTACAAAGTTACATTTGCAGTGAATATGTATAATATAATGGAATAATAGGTTTAGATAGGTACCTAGATATAAGTAATATTTTACATATTATATATATATATATATATATATATATATATTATAAGGTTTAGATAGGTACCTAGATATAAGTATCTACAAAAAAAAATGAGATGCCGTCAAAAATATTTCTAAAAAAAAACCAAGTCTCGCAACTCAGTTCTTCTACCGTAAAAAGTTGTGACATCCATGTAATACCAAGTCGGTTAATTTATTCATTCCATACTTAAGGATCCTTCTGTCTTAAGTTATTGCGTAATTAGCTAACCTAACAACATCTTATAATGACCATATCAAAATCGCAATTAACAATTTCATTGGCGCCGGCGGGGATCGAACCCGGGTTGCTCGCGTACTGTGAAACTTATCTGAGCTACCATGGCTCTCTGATCTGTGATTTAAATTCTGTATAATTTTTAAATTATAATTATCACTTGTAGCTTCCGGTGAGACAATATGACTGCTTTATATGTTTCAGTTTAAGGCCAGTGTTGCGGATGTGTTGGTGGAAATCGACCAAGGCACATTACTCGGTGAACAACTACAAACAGTTACGAAAGATGGGCTATATTACAGTTTCAAGGGAATACCGTATGCGGCACCGCCAGTTGGCAAGTTGAGATTTAAGGTAATCTACCCAAGAGGTTTGAATCTCTCACTCATGATCTTTTTAAAATCGATTATGGTTCTTTTCACATAAGAATTTTACGCCTTAAAATTCGGATGTCGAACTTGGCTTTCTCTTTGATTGGCTTGATCTTTAACAAGATTAAATTAACTCAAGTTAGTTTAGTTAACGATGGCCTTTTTTCGCTACTATATGTAATATTGTGATTATATGAGCCATGAAATCTCCTCGAAAAATTTCTACAGTTCTTTGATATTGTAAATGACCTTGAGGAGCGGCCTAGGGTTGCTGAGAGGTTTATCCCTTTATGCAGCGACCTCTGGACACATCAGTAACACGGGGCTGCCGGTTCCTCCTTCTTCATACATGCCCTGCACACAGACATATGGTTATTTCTTTTATTTTAAACGTTATTTCCACACTAAGATTTTCTCATACATAAATTTCACAAGGACAAACATCCAGACACAGAAATGAATGAATGTTTGTTTAAAGAAGCATGCCCTGTAATAGCATTCGTTGCTATCCTGATCTGTGGTTTGTTTAATTTCATTAGAACCTTGGATTAACGACTACTCAAGCTAATATTTATGTCTTCATTTTTAGGCACCCGAACCACCGATCCCTTGGGAAGGGATAAGAAATGCCACCGAACATGGATCAATTTGTACTCAATATGATTTAGTTCTAGAACAATACATCGAAGGCAGTGAAAACTGTCTATTCTTGAACGTTTACACACCTGATCTGAAACCAGAAATACCCATGCCAGTAATGTTTTTCATCCACGGAGGAGGTTATACAAGTGGCTCTGGGAACAGCGATTTTTATGGACCTGATTTTCTCGTTAGTCACGGAATCGTATTAGTAACTATCAACTACAGACTTGAAGTGCTGGGATTTCTGTCAATAAATACAAAAGAAGTCCCAGGAAACGCCGGCGTAAAGGACCAAGTTGCTGCATTGCGATGGGTGCAAAGAAATATTGCAAAATTTGGGGGTGATCCCGATAAAGTAACAGTTTTTGGAGAAAGTACTGGTGCTTCTTCTACGGGCTTCCATATAGTGTCACCGATGTCGAAAGGCCTTTTTAAGAGAGCTATTCTAATGAGCGGTGTACCGCTTGCAGACATATCAATCTCTTTCGAACCGCGAAGACGAGCTTTTGTTCTTGGAAAACAATTGGGAATGGAAGCCGACGATCCTGATAAACTACTTGAATTTCTCCAACATGTTAATGCTTTAAACTTAACTAATACAAATCCATTTTTGACATCTTTCGAAGAATTGTCAGCAAATCCATTGAAACAGTCTTATTTCGTGCCAGTAGTTGAAAAAGATTTCGGACAAGAACGTTTCTTAATCGAAGATCCTTTAGAATCGTTAAGCAATGGACGTGTAAATGATGTAGATGTGATGATTGGGTTCACTAATGAAGAAGCTCTTATATCTTTAATTCGATTCGATGATGATGTTCTCAAGAAATTCGACCGATATCCAGAGATGTTCGTTCCAAGAAAGATTATAACTACTTCGACACCAGCCGTTTCCTTGAGAGTCTCTGATATGATTCGAAATCATTACTTTGGAAAAAAAGAAATAAATGAAATGTCTATACGAGAATTCCTTAACTATTTAAACGAAGCCATATTTAGACACGACGTTCATAGATTCATAGGACGGCTTCCTGAAAATACCAATACTAATAAATATCTATATCAATTTTCCTGCGTGTCAGAGAGAAATCTTTTCGGACAACTTGGTTCTAAATTTGGTTTATCTGGAGCTGCTCATTTGGATGATCTTCTATACATATTCCATGTTAAGCTGTTCCCGTTTAGAATTGATACAACGAAAAAGTCCTACAAAATGATTGAACAGACTTGTACCTTGTTCACTAATTTTGCTAAATATGGGTGGGTATATTCATTTTTACACTTGCAAATCAATCAAGTAAAGTATATTATTCATTCAATCACAACTAATATTAGATATATTTTTTTTGCTCTTTAACTCACAAATTTCACACTAATGTTTATTTTAATAACCTTTACCGTTACAGCCTATTAAAGTCCACTGCTGAACATAGGTCTCCCCCATAAATTGTCTCATAGGGAAAATATTTGCCACAGTTGCCATACTTAGCAACCTGATGGCAACTGCTGTTTTATCGTCTATTGGAGGCGTAAGAATATCCACTACCCCATATCATCTCATGGGTGTCGAAAGAGGAGACAGAGGCCAACAAATCAGAAGATGGGCAGCAGCGTCTTTTTTATTTAATATAAAATATAATTTTTAGTGGTAGGCCTCCTCTCCTGCGTAGCAGTCCTGGGAAATAAGACACTTCAGAGGTAAATCACTTGTAAGGTTGCACAATGAATTTAAAGTAGTTATTAGTTCCTGATTAAAGATAAGGATCTCGCAACGATCTACACGGTGGCTACCTTCGTAACAAGTTAAGCGCGGAAAAACGTCAGTCTAGTTCGCAAGAAAAACTACACTAACTCTCGAAAGTCCTATCCCGCCGCATAAGGCGGCCGGGGGGAAAGGGGAGCGGGAGGTGACCTCGATATCGAGGCCAAGCGCGCGAGTTAAATACGTTTCGAAGGCAAAATGAATATTCTTGCCTATACAGACCCCTTATCCTATAAAAAACAAATCCGTCTTAGTACTCAGTGGTGACAACACATCAGTAGTCTTCTTTGTTTAAAGTTGGTTACAGATCCATGAGCGGCCTTTTCTGCAAAGTAGAGCCACTCACACAGAGTTATTACACTTACTTATTTTCAGCAGCTGTGTACTTATTGTGTATTATTATTTGGTGCCAGTGTAATATCAGGCTATGAGGTTAATATTATAGAATAGAATAGAATAGAATAATTTTTTATTAAATATAGATAACATGTATAATTCTTATTGAAAGTCATTTTTTACTTTACCTGTAATAAGACGGATTTGTTTTTTATAGGATAAGGGGACAAACGAGCACACAATCCACCTGATAGTATGTGGTTGCTGTGGCCCATAGACATCTACATCTATCCTCGATTACGAATCAAAATGCAGATCCCGTGAGGACTAAAATGGAATGCCTCGTTTCCAGTAAAAAGGGTCTCCGGTTCTCTACACTCACCATACAAAACACAGCAGCGTTAAGCTGCTATTTTACGCTGGTATTCTGTGAGAACGTGGTCCTTCCCCGGTCGAGCCGACCCATTTGTGCTACAACTATAACTGGTTCGAAAAAAAACCTCTGTCCTGGGAAGAACCAGAAAGAAACCCAGCGGGACTTTTTTTTAAAGCAAATTTTATATTAATGGTTGCACAAACTATACAAGTACAAAATTTATTTTAGAAACAGCTTGGAAGCGACCACCACACTCCCAGGGGTTATTGTCAACCATATTATTCATTTATACTATAATAACCCTTTTTGTACAGTTTCAACTTAACAAAACATTTAAACTTGGTAATAGAGAGAGCCTGTACACTTTCCGGGACCTTTTTGTAATAGCGTATACATTGCCCCAAGAATTAATTACTGACTCTGTGGAGTCGAGAAACCGGTATCACTAGCTTGTGTTTGTTCCTAGTGTTTACAGAATGTATATCACTTTTTTTACCAAAACTACCTTTGTTTTTGTGAACATAATTGCAAGACCCGTTGGAACCTCAACAAAATCTACAATTAAAAAAATAGTCCGTGAACGTGAACGTCCTTGCGTTAATTTACTTCACAGCCATGTAATTTTATCACTTATTGTCATCAATTATCACATGAAACCACTTGTGAATATCTATCAAAATTGTTTAGTTAAAGTTGATATTTTTCATTATAGGAATCCTACACCCGACTCATCGCTGGGCGTCGTTTGGCCTAAATATGATAACACTAACGAAGGCTACCTGGATATAGCAACAAATTTGACGACTGGTAACCATCTAGATGCAGCTTCTTTGGACTTTTGGAAGACTGTATACGAACATGCTGGCTTGGTATTTTAAGATTAGAGTACACCTTTAGTTTTGATGTACTTTTAAGACAATTTCAATCTGGACTATACACAAAAATACTGTATATTATTTCTGTAAAAATTTCCATTTTGTTTTCACTCAAATATAAACATAGTACTTGAGATAAAGGAGCATCATTTGTTTAATATTTATCTAGCCTGCTGATCATTTCACTCTGTCACCTCTAGGGACATTCACGAGGTCACTCACAGCCCGCAGTTATATTGGATATTTATACCTTTCAACACAACCGATGCTTGGTGGTAAAACTAGTTAAGAGGGTGGCACCTACGCAGACGGACATTGGCATGTACAACACTTTGTTAAATGAATCAAATAGAACGTCAAAGTCAAACATTTCACTCTAAATTGGCTTTTACAAAGCACTTTTTGACTCCATCCACTATAACATATTTTTATATAGTATAGGGTGACAAACGAGCACACAGTCCACCTGATGGTAAGTGGTCGCTGTGGCCCATAGACATCTACATTTATCCTCGTTTGTGAATCAAAATGCAGATGCGTTGTCATCCGTGAGGACTAAGATGGAATGCCTCTTTTTCAGTAAAAAGGATCTCCGGTTCTCTACACTCACCATACGAAACACAGCAGCATTAAGCTGCTATTTTACGCTGGTATTCTGTGAGAACGTGGTCCTTCCCCGGTCGAGCCGACCCATTCGTGCTACAACTATACTACTAATATAGCTGCAGCATGGCTCTACCACGTGTTAAATTATTATTATCTGTAGTCTTATTTTATAGAACAATATAGAATAATAATAATCGAGCTTACGTGGTACTTACGTTATGCTTGTAGCACGAACGAGTCGGCTCGACCGGGGACCACGCTCTCACAGAATACCAGAGTAAAACATCAGCTTAATGCTGCTGTGTTCCGTATGGTGATTATAGAGAACTGGAGACCCTTTTTACGTGGGAAGTGAGGCCTTCCATTTCAGTCCTCAGGAGTGACGACGCACCTGCATTTTGATTCTTAATCGAGAATAAATGTAAATGTCTATAGGCCACAGCATCCACTTACCATCAGGTGGACTGTGTGCTCGTTTCTCAACCTTATTCTATAAAAAAAATGGTCCACATGTATCCTTCATAAAAATCAAAATGCAGATGTGCTGTCAAACCTGAGAACAGAGATTGAATACCTCATAACCATCTTCCGGTTTTTTTATTTCCTGTAAGATTTGCCTTAATGACACTGAGCAAGCTAATTGAAAATCGGAGTACAAATCGTCTCGCACCTTTGATACTGCTCTCGTCAGAGATAAGGGATGTTTATAGCACCATATGTTGGAAGCTATAAAATGTTTCTTGCATTTCTATAGTCACGTCTTATGACTGCGACGAGATGAAATAGGGTGATGGATACTTTGTTTCTTCATGGTAATCATGGTTTGTAGATTTTAAAACTATGAGAAGGAACAAAAGCCAAATAGAGCCGAGTGAATTCGAATATGCCGATTTAATGTAAGTACGTAAATTAAATAAGAACGGAACTCAAATAAACCTGAAGCAGTTTGACGGTTAGGACAAGCTGTAACACAAATTGAAGTAAATTTAAAAACCGAATCGAATGTACCATTTGTCTATCCGTCCGATTTTTTTAGAATAGAATAGAATAATTTTTATTCAATATTGATTACAAGTAATTCTTATTGAAAGTTATTTTTTTACTTTACCACTAGTTCGAAAAAATCCTCTGTCTTGGGAAGAACCAGCAAGAAACCCAACAGGACCTTTTTTTAAGTAAATTTTACATGAATGTTTTAGAATTTACCATTTACAAAATTTATTTTAGAAACAGCTTGGAAGCGACCACCTCTTTCTCAGGGGTTATTATCAATTATATATTATGTATCACTTTTTTACTAAAACTATCTTTGTTTTTGTGAACATACATAAAAATGTCGTAAATATACTGAGAGGCCAAAGTTAATATATTTATTTCTTTAAATTTATCTCTAAGAGAATCTCTCGGTTTAAGGTTATATATAGCTCTTATGGCCCTCTTCTGCAAAACAAAATTTAGAACAGTTTACAATCTGGGTGTCTTGAAAGAAAGTGAGAATAGACTTTTGTTTGAGATTACTAGAATGATTTTTAAGACATTGAGATTTACTATCTAAGGCTTTAGCACCATTAAGTACCAGGATTGTAGCCAAATACTGGCTCATAATAAATAAATACCGAAAAAGTATTTTCTAATCGAATTCAGAAAACGGAGGAGGTGCTCAATTCGGCTGTATTTTTTATGTGTGTTACTTCGGAACTTCTTTACCAGGTGAACCGGTTTTGATGATTTTTTTTATTTGAAAATTGGTGCTTCTCATGTAGTCCCATATAAATCTGATCAAGATCTGACCAGTAGTTTTTGAGTTATCCTTAATAATACGAATTTAATTGACTTGGACTACATTGACGATGTTCTCATTATATTTATATTGAAGTACAAAATTGTTAATTTTACTACTTGTTTTTTACACATAAATATACCTTATATAAATATATAAGATTCGTGACACGAAATCACACGAAGACACGAAATCGTAACTTTTGTAATTGTGTTGCGTAGTAAAATCGAGTGCAAGAAAATGTTTTCAATTTAGGTGCTTTATGACAAAGATCGTTTGTATGCATGTATTTTACGTATTTTTTGTATTTACATATTATTTTGTAGACATTTGAACTTTGTTGCACGTTGTAATATGTAATGAATGACTATACTTATATGGTATTTGAAGAATTGTCAAGAATTAATTTTCAACTATCGTATTAGGATGAAACAAAGATCATGTGTAACGTCCATGTCACACATGTGCCTGTAGTTGTTGGGAGCACTAAGTTCGAAGTTATTGTCGAGTATGTTTACAAATAGTCCGACTAGGTAAGTCCAATTTCGACCGAGAAGTCAATCGTCGGATTCAGCTCGGCTGTGCAGTGTTCGGAAACGACATATCATGTAAAAAATGTATTTAATTAACACCCTCCCCACATTACATGGCGACCCTGCCAGGCGGTGCGCTGCGATAATGCAAGCGCACCGCCGCGCCGTGGACTGCAAAATTATTTCAATTTAAAATAATTTGACTGTCTATTACTAGAATCGGCATAATTATAGTGGAAATAATGAGAAGGCCAATTAAATGCGAATATAAGAAAATTACATTTTATTGAGGACATTACTAACGAAGATAAAAATTTAAGGAAAAATATAATGAAAAGAATGTGTGGAGATAAATTTTCCATCAAGCCTATAATTTACGAATAATAGAAGAAATTGCAGCCAACCTTCAGAAAAGAAAATTAAACCGAAAAAAACTAAAAAAGAAGATTAAGATTATGTACATCGCACCAGGGTGATTTGTAATTAAGAATATTTAAAACTTCATTGGTTTGAGATTTTTTTACGTTGTTTCTGTTATTATATTTTTTTTAAGTTATATGTGTCATTAAAGATTTATTTTTTATTTTTATGATTGTATCAAAATAATGCAATGATAATGCAATATTATGATTGCATTATTTTAATTAATATTTAAGAGATACGGACGGATATCAGGTTTCCGTCGATGCCCCTCTCGGCTCTTCGGACCATTGTCTGATCCGGAGTATGGTGCCACTCACGCTCCCTTCGCGGTTGCGTTCTGCAGGTTGCCGCCGTGTTTGGCATTACAGGTAGAGGTAGAGCCCCGCAGCAGTTTTTTGCTGTTGCACGTATGGGCAGGCTCGAGCCGGGTTGGTACCACGACCTCACAGAATACCGGCGTGAAGTAGAGGCTCTGCTTCTGCGTTTCGTCTGGTGAATGCAGGTGGCCGGAGGCCCAATTCCCCCCCCCCCCCCCCCCCCATCAACATGGTAGCGGAATTACAAAGTAGACTACCCCAGGAGGGTACCAGTACCCCTGGAGAATCCCTCGCTGAGCATCCACGACCATGTTATTCCATTCCTGAGCGTGGGTGCTCAGGCTGCCCCGCGTATTCTGGGGGGGGCAAAATTCCGCTCAAAAACAAAACTGCTTGGGGCAAACTGAGCAACAATACCAAGGCGACCCCTGCCACGCTATCCGTGAATTTCTGCAACATCAGGGGACTTCACTCTAACCTAAACGCCGTCCACTACCATCTCGAGACGGCGAAGCCGGCCTTGCTCTTTCTGACCGAGACGCAGGTTTCCTCTCCGGCTGATATTTCGTATCTCTCCTGCCCGGGGTACAAATTGGAGCACTCCTTTGTGCCTCGGGCTGGAGTTTGCGTGTATGTCAGAGAGGACATCTGTTCTCGACGCCTCGGCAGTCTTGAAGGTTCGGACCTGTCCATCCTTTGGCTACGCGTAGACAGCGACGACCATCCGCGCGTCTACGGGTGCCTCTATAGGTCCCATAGCGGTAATGCCGAAACAGACCGACTCATCGACCACGTCCAAATGGCTACAGATTCCTTGCTACAACAGGTCCCATCCGCAGAGATCGTGATCCTTGGCGATTTTAACGCCCACCATGCAGAATGGCTCGGTTCACGTTTAACCGATCATGCGGGGAGATCTGTTTATGACTTTGCTTTGGCATATGGTCTGACACAACTGGTTACTTCGCCTACGCGGATTCCAGATGTGAAGGATCATACACCTTCCCTGTTGGACCTTCTGCTGACCTCTCATCCGGACGGATATCAGGTTTCCGTCGATGCCCCTCTCGGCTCTTCGGACCATTGTCTGATCCGGAGTATGGTGCCACTCACGCTCCCTTCGCGGTTGCGTTCTGCAGGTTGCCGCCGTGTTTGGCATTACAGGTCGGCAGATTGGGACGGAATGCGGTCTTTCTTTGCATCCTACCCATGGGGGCGGGTTTGCTTCTCGCCGGATGATCCCAGCGCTGTTGCTGACTCTGTCACTGATGTGGTGCTACAGGGAATGGAACTATATATTCCATCATCTGTGGTACCCATCGGAGGCAGATCTCAGCCTTGGTT